AAATATTCAGACTGCAGAGTTATCAGTTGCCGAGTTTTTGCAGGATTTAACTGTACTTTTTATCAACAGTTTTTTATGTTCTGACCATTTTTTCTGTGCCTCTAGGTTCCTGGGCTGGCCCAACAGCAGGGACTCAAGTGGGGAGTCCAGTGGTGCCTAAGGATCCCTCCCTCCGCTCCCCCTATAGTTCCTGCAGGACAGGCTGGTGTACTCGTCTGCCGAACTAAATTCCTCCTGTTTGTAAGTGTAAAATACATGTATTTGACTGAAAAAAGCCTCAATGATAAGAATCATATTTCAATCTAATATAATTGCCGTAAATTTAGTTACTTTTGATCTACAATCTATGCTGTCTTTGGCTTTGGATGGAAGTAGACATTACTTTCCTGTGTTAAAGTTGTTGTGAGTTTTAGAAAAAAAATCATGGTTGAAGTACTACTGACAGAGTGTACTAATGTAAATTATTTGCTTCATTTTTATTCAATCCAAACTAAAAGGACAATTTATTGTAAGCAAAAAGTCTATACAAAATATTTATGCCATAACAGCTGCAGATAACCAGACTGGGCTACATGGACCCGCCAACGCTAGTGTTGCCTCTGGTGTACGACACCAGCACTAACCTGACCCAGCTGGCAGAGAAGAGAGACCCGGGCCCCGCGGCAGGTCTAGCGGCAGCCAACGCTCAACTCAAGCGGTTTGTCGAGTGTACAGCGGCCATGCGCGAGTGCTCGCTGTTCCCTGCTGTTCAAGACTTACTGGCCAACCTAGTGCTTCCCTCGGAACCACCTCAGGTAAAAACAAAAACAGTCCTTCACATCTAAGGATGCTAAGAAAGTTCCAACCCCCAACACTTTTACTTATTTATTACTTTAGGCCTTTTAGAGGTATGTGTGGTTTTATCTAGCAAAATCCTTTGGTGATTGGTGGGATTTGAACCCGTGGCTGAAGCCATGCGCTCTTCTACTAGACCATTCGCTCCCCTTAAGTAATTAATAGAAAATTTTAAATTGATAAGTGAGTTATATGTTTTATAGGTGTTAACAAATTGAAAAATTTTGTTTCACAAACGTTCACCCTATTAAGTTGGTTAAGTTGGCTAAAATGTGATTAAGTTATTGTGTGGTGCTGTAACAAAGTTTGCATTGAAGTCAATCCCAATGAGCTTTGGTCCGCTCCGCCCACCTATGGCAGTATCTATTATGCTCGTTGTTTCTAAGTTAAAATAGCCATTTATAACTGGTTATTCTTATAAATTGGTCACATTTTCCAGGTGGTTTCTTCGCCTGTGGGCCCTAGTCCTGGAGTGATGGGCCCCCAGGGTCAGATGATGGGGGCCCCAGGCCCTGCATATCCCACCAGCATGCAGTCTGTCCCCATGGGCATGCAACATCCCATGATGGGGCCTCAATGATATCCCCCTCTCTCTTTATCCCACGGTAAGTTTACATTAAAATTTTTTTATTCAATTTACTTTTCTTTGTAGTTCTGGCACCAAATTAAATCGGCTATATTCTGAGCTTCCACACTTTACTTATGGTTTCAGGTAGAGTTGAACTTTATATTGCTAATTATAGAAAACATGAGTGACTTATAATCAAACCATTCTGTAGAGAGAACTAACTATACTTATTTCAGTCATCTTACTGCAAAGCATTTGATAAATCATCTTCATTTTATTTTGGAAGGACTGTATTGTCAAGATTTCAGCCATATCGTCTGAATTTAATGTGTTACTAACACAACTATAATTAATTCTGTCTACGTAATATTAAGTCATGGGAAAACTAATCAACACTATGACTAGAATGATTTTATAAATTAATTTTGAAATGCTTGCAACCACACCCGAGATGCTTGTAAAAATGCAATTTATTAGCATATCTTGCTTGTACTTAAACTATAAATTGCATGTCTTATGAGTTAAATACTATGCATCTTCAACTTATTTATCTATATTGAAAGATTAGGTTCACTTCCAGAGAGTTTAAATCAACATTATTTTTAGCTCAAAGACCTTTAAAAATCATTTATGCTTTTCAAAAAGTCCTATAAATCATTTTTTTTACTCAAAATCACAGATTTGTCTTGTATTGCGTAGTTGAAAATCTATTGCGGATAACTATCTGGAATAATGGACGTTTCTGCGACCACAAGAAATCATATCGGTCCTTGTCACGATCATGAGAAATCATTAAGATATTGCTGCACTTCAAGGAAATAATCACGGATTTTGTTGTGATCGCGAGAAATAATCACAGATTTTGCCTTGATTGTGAGAAAAAGAAATCGTCACATATTTTGCCTCAAACAAAAAATACGATGTGGCTGCAATCGATAGAAATTATAAAGGAATTCGTCAAAAGGTTTTTAATGAACCAGCAGGTGTAAAGAAGTAAATTAGGCATATTTTGAGCTGGGAGATTTGTACCTGGAAACCTGGAATTGATTTATTTTATTTTGATGGGACGCTGGACCTCACTGCCCCTCACTTTGATGGGGCACTGTACAGGAACTCATTTTACTCAATGATCTACATATTCTGTGTATCAAAGTAATTAACTAAATGATTTGGTTATACAGGGTGATTGATATAAGTGTGCCAGCCGTTTTATTCGAAAACTATAAGAGATATCAAAAAAAGTTAAATGGTAAGTCCCTTGGATTTTTTATTAAAAAAGTTATAGGCCCTAGTCAAGTCAAAAAAATTATTTTAGCCGCCATTTTTCCAATATGGCCGCCAACTTTGATTTTTCTTATGGAACACCCTGTATTTTATGATGTATTCTGGTAGAAAAAGTAATTTTAAGACGATTTTATTCTTGTGATTATTTTCATAAACCTAACCGTTTCAAAGATAATAATGGTTTAAGTTGTGAAATTTTTAATGGTTTTCGAACAAAACAGCTGGCATGCTTGCTTAGGCCTTTATCAAAACTCTTTCTCATGCAGAAATTTCAAAACTTTAACCATTATTATCTTTGAAACGGTTAGGTTCATGAAAAAAATCACAAGAATAAAATCGTCTTAAAATTACTTTTTCTACCAGAATACATCATAAAATACAGGGTATTCCATAAGAAAAATCCAAGTTGGCGGCCATATTGGAAAAATGGCGGCTAAAATAATTTTTTTGACTTGACTATAATTTTTATGATAAAAAATCCAAGGGACTTACCATTTAACTTTTTTTGATATCTCTTATATTTTTCGAATAAAACGGCTGGCACACTTATATCAATCACCCTGTATTTTGAGTTTGTTAAATATTTGATCAACCTATATTTTAAACCAGCTAGAAAAAAATTAATATGATTGGTTTTATTTCAGGCATGTTGGGATAGGAGTCTCGGTCTGTGATGCTACATGTTAAAGACTGTACGAGCCACTTTTACAGTGAACTCAGCCGCAAGTTTGTAAACAAAACTATTTTCTGTGTATAGTTATGTGGATATCATCACACCAGCACAAGACACATTTTAATTGTGATTTCACAGTGACGAATCTCAGACATATAATGACAACAAAAATACTGAAGGAGTGTCAATTTATCACACAACCTTTTTGATAGCTTTTCAAAAGGTAAAGCTGAAGAGGAGAGTGAATGTACATTTCAATTTTTAAGTGTTACATACTGTAATAGTATTCTACCCGTTGTAATATTTAATGTTTTTAATGTATGTATTAAATAGAATTATGTATCATACAACTAATGGCTCAACACTCAATACTAAAATACTACATCATATTAAAATAATGAACATTAGATTAGATCTAACTGTTGTAGATGTTCTAAAAAGAGAAAAATATTCATTGTAAATAATTAAACATATAAGTGTTGTTTCAAGTGTATGTTCAAAGACTTTTATGATTTATTTATTTATAGTTTTTAAACAGATTGTCAAACTATGGTTGTGTTATAATTTGGTAGAATTAGGTAAATTATGTAAGTTAACTTTAAGTGGAAATAAATGGTATTAACTGTTATTCATTCGTTTCCAATTATTGACAAAGTATATTTTTGATGTTATTCCATTTGGTAGCGCATGAATGTCTTCAATGTACCTATTTAACAATTTAAACATTTGTATACAAAAGGCTCAAATAGTGCATTGATGATAAAAACATTATTATGAGCAGTTAATCCAAAGTATTGTTTTTCTTATCTATCTTCAGTACTTATTCATCTGCAGGAATTGACATTTGCTCACAAGTTATTAGGATTTCTGAGTCTTTCAAAAACCAAGTGATTTACGATCTTATTGTTCTGTGTTTTTCAAACTTCTTAAATTGTATTTGGATTTTTTTTTTTTACTTGTAAATATATATTCACCCAAGAACAATATTTACAAAAAAAATTTTGTGATGCTCTAAATATAATGCATTTAAGAAGTCTAGATCACAGAGGATTGGATATGAGAAAACTAATTTGAGAGACTGAGAACTTAGGAATCAAGTGAGACTTGAAGTAGTAGCAAGTTTCGTGAAATTAGTATTACAAGGGTTATTCTGATGGTAAGGAACGTTTCTGTGCCTCCATTTTCAGGCCCTTTCTACAATTTTTGGACTGAACATTCATTCACTATGTTCTTTTTGTACATTTCACACACTTGACAATAAATTTCTATATATTTTAAGCGTTTGATCTTTTTTAAGTGTTTGATCAACTATACACCTTATTAAAGACTGCCCCTTAAAACTAGCCGGATTTCCAATTTCTGAACACATTTTCAACTTAAATATTGCAACAATGGGGAGCCAACGACACTTCCGTGCAATTGCGGGACAGTCATTGAGGTGGCAAAATGTCTGTTCTAGAATGTGTTCAGCTTGTGTCCAGTAAAAGGAACGTTCCTTACTTTCTAAATATCCCTCATCTTTTTTTTATAAAGGTACTAAAGTTTTGATTTTCAAGGAGAATAATGTTTTGACAAATTTAGCTAGGATTTGCAGGGATTTAGAGGTTAGTGTTCAAGAATGTACTAAATAAAACCTCAATGTAAGAAAGCACATATATTTATTTCTAAGATAAATACAAACAGATTCAGTTCTATATCAAAATTATAAAACAACAATTTGGTCAAGGCACTTAACAATACAATTTACCAAGAGCCGTAGACAATAAAACATTCTGTGATGAATTCTTTGGCCGTTGCTCTTTGACACAACTAATATAAAGTTAAATATTGACACGTTCGAGAGAAAGCTTAATAATTGGAATATAAATATTGATGTCTTCTAATACTGTATTATGTTTTAAACCTTTAATTTTATCTTTCTAACAATTACAAATATAAATAATAACTACATCACCATTTCTAAGGTACTATGCATGTAAAATAACAGTGTATACAAAGCTTATCACAATATAAATAATTTGTACTTTTTGGAATCGTGATTTGTATGAAGTTATTTCGTTTTCTCATTATGCAAACAATGGAATAATTGAAAAAGGGGCTGCCTCTTCAATTCTGATACAATATGCCTTAATTATGTTTATATTAATGAATGTCAAGTTTTAATAGTGACTGGTAATGATTGGACAGGTCATCTTTAAAATACTCTTTACCGAAACATCCATGCATTACAACCCGATAGCATAACAACCGTAACTAAAACATATTTCAATCATATGACTACTTAAGCTTATTTCGCATATAAACATACAATAAGCTAAACATATATAGTACACATGTACAAGGGAAATAACCTCTACTGATTTTAGATGTGGAAAAACATTTTAATGCAATTTGAATTAACTCAAGATGGTAAATTTAAATCTAACACACCGTGAAGTTTCACATAGTGGACCAAATAAATATGATTTATTACAGGTTTTTTTAGTAAAGATCATACAATTGGAAATATTTTCTGATGATTCTAGTTTCTCAATAGTGCCGACTTATGTCTAAGTATTTGTGCTGTCTACAAAGCATATATACAGAGGGTGATGAATATTGAATAGGTTAATTAATTACTGTAATAAAAAAGCATTTGGTCCCATTCCTATAGTAAACTGTACAAGGGCTTTACACTATGTGTTTTTATTTGAGCTGGAAATAATTTCAACCCAAAAATCCGTTTGATAAAAAAGTGGCAAAAACCACAAATGGGAATGTTTATATCAGATCATCGTATGTATTTGGATGCTTACCATAACTTTGTGTTATTTACACTTTTTTAACAGCTATTTCAACTATTTTTGGTAACACAAAATAAATCTACAATCTATAACAATTTTCACTTAACATATGAACGACTCTCAGAAAAGAATCGTTCAAATTGTCTCTTTATTTGGTATGTCTGTGTAAGTCTCTCGAGAACAAAATTTGATTCTGTTTTCGGAGACGGAATCACAAAGTGGCAACACTCGAGTGTTTACTTGTCGTCGTCGTAGTTCTGTAAGGTTTTGCACAGACAGAACGACAGGAACACTGTGAAAAGCTCTACGAAGATGACAGCGAGTACAACCCAGATCACTGTGTTTATATGGTCCAGAACCCAGTTCAGCACAGTCTTGTAACACCCCTGTAAAATAACACAAGAATAAAACTAATCTGTATAAACAAAAATTTTATCCACAGGGGGCTACTGGGGGGGGGGGACGGAAAACATCAGTTTCTGATCAGGTTTCAAATTATTTGTCACAATCCCATACCTAGGTCTGTTTAACCTTCCCATCTTTAAATATCATTTGTCTCCTGAATTTCACTGAAAAAGATACCAGACTCTTCACTATACCTTCTACAGTAATAGAAGTTCAAGTTTGTAAAAGTTTTTGAGGTATTGTAAAATTGCAACTTTAGTGGTGAGAAATTAATTTTCAACAGCCACAGTCAAATTCTATGAAGATTTGCCTAGAATTGTAATTTTTCCGCAATGGCTTTCAAGTGGTGTAGCTTTATGAATGGTTATTGGATTACTTTATAAATTGATAGTATAGCGATTTGATAAAAAAATTTGTTTAATCTTGATGGTAGATTTTTATTTTAATTTTTTTTAGAATCATTCATAAAACATTCTTGATATGCATATTTCACAATAAATTTAAAAGATTATCAAGAAAAGTAATAAAATATCAACATAAAAATTTAATTTACTCACAGACATTGTATTAAAGGCCTACATTAACAACATGTTTTTGGAAAGACTAATTTTATGTAATTTTCTTTACATTGACCTCACACTTGTGATCTTGCCCAAGAAAGTTGAGGCTAAAGAGTCTGGGCAACGTTGAATAGATTCGAGAGAATTGCACATCAAATATTTACCTTTCTCTTCTCAAAACCACACTTTGTTGGTTTATTGACTGCATGTAGCCTACGACACTATTATAACAATATTTCATCTTACCCAATATCTATTTACCAATCATTTCCCTTCACTACTGTTTCATTGTTTGCTAGTTATAACTATTTTAGTAGTTTGATGATAGCTTTTTATAATATGTGATGTGGAAAGCGAAAAGGGACCTCTTGTCGGCGATGCAAAATTTTCAGTATGGCAGATTTAAGTAATTAATGTCAAAAATATCAAAATTCGGGTTGTTATCGATTGTTATACCTCATTTATCATAGAGCAGGACAGTATCGGTTGAAATATAGAATTGAAGACAACTTTTATGTGACATAAAAGGTTGAAATAAAACATTTCGTTAGCCTCTGCACGGTCTGAGAAAAGGTACCTCTTGTTGCTCAATGTTATTTCGCCATAATGAAAAGAGGTCCCATTTCTAATATTCACTTTATAAACATATTTTAGTCCAAAAAATGAATTGTCCTGCATTCTAGAGGAAATTTAGTGAACTACAACAAAGTTCAGTGTGCGGAGAATAAAATATTTCACAAATTTTGCGGTCCCGACAAGAGGTAGCTTTTCTTATCTTATGGAGAAATAACATAGGGCCGACAAGAGGTCCCTTTTCTGAAATGTGATTTTTACAACATGCTTCTATAAAACAATTATTTAAATGAAAACCATCGAGAGTTACGACAAAAATAGGTTTTGCCTCCAAAGAGGACATTATACGCTTTCTTTTGATACCAAAATCTCTTCTTAAATACGAAAAAAACTGTTTTTATGCATACTTTAAATTTTCAAAAGTGTTTTTCTCAAAATGACCCTTTTCTATAACAAAATTTCAAAGTCTTATAACTTAAACACAAAAAATCACAGATGCATGGGACTTGCACCAAGTGATTCAGAATTTAATAAGGAATTCAAATATGTATATATGTATATCAAAAATTCCCGACAAGAGGTCTCTATTCGCTTTCCATCACATATGAAGATTACAGATTGTTAAAAAATATTTTTGGTAGAGGATGAAACTATTCAGTCTTGACCAATATCACGGTATTCATCATAGTAAATTATATAGCAAGAACAATAGTAGAACCTTGTGGAAAAATTATATAGCTGAACTATTTATTACTGGTAGTTATTAATCATGTAGGGTTGCTGCAACTACCCAAAGCGCTATGTTTTCAAACTCATTGCAAATCCTACCAGCAAAGAAAAATTCAGTAAATCAATGAACTAGGTACTTCAAAAGCCTGTCTTAATGGTTTTGTACTATACAATTAATTCAACTTTGTTTTCATTACTGTTTTGATGCAGACAAACCTTGCATGGTTTGTTATCTTCTGTTTTCTCAGGGCCGATTTACCGAATAGGCACGGTAGGCACGTGCCTAGGGCGCGAGGCAATTGGCTTTTTTGGGGGGCGCCAAAAATTTGGAAATTAAAAAAAAATTCGTGGTAGTATTTGCATAATATCGCGGTAAACTTCTGATAACCACTCGCGGCCGTGTAGGCATCGTAATCGTCTCCCGCGTTTGCAGCAAGATTCTTACTATTTTCTGCAGTCAGGTCGTTTGGACATAAAATTATCGTCTTCCATGATCGAGGCAATATAAGAACGTATCCCGCAGTCGTGAGGAGATTATTATCATCTACCGCAAATGAGGCAAAATTCTGATATTTACCCGCGGTCGTGAGGACATTATCATCGTCTTCCCTGATCGCGGCAATATTCTGATCATCCCTCGTGGCCGTGTAGAAATAGTTATTATATCTCCCGCGGTCCTGTAGATATCGTACGTATCCCGCAGTCATGAATCCATGGTAATCGTCTCCAGCGATTGCGGCAAAATTTTAATCATGTCCTGCAGTTTTGTGGAGATCATCATCGTCTTCCACGATCGCGGCAAAGTTCTGATCATCCCTCGCGGCCGTGTGTAGACATTTATTATTGTCTCCCCCGGTCACGGAAACGTCACTGTTGTCATGCGCGATCACGGAAACGTCACTGTTGTCATGAGCGATCACGGTAAATTGAAAACTCCAGGTAGGAATACAAAATTCACGGTTCAAAGATCTCCCGCATGATTCCCGGATTTCCCGGTCGATATACACCCTGTTATATACAGGGTGGCTGAAAAGTAACTTGCACCCCCACTTAACTTTTCAACCATTTGAGATATTTGAAATCGGTTTGCGGCAACCTTCTTAGATATGACGGGCTACAATAATTATGGTCAATTTTGAAAATTTTGCCCTTAGGGGTAGCGGGGGTAGGGGATAGCTAAAAATTTTCAAATAGCAAGTATAGTCGAGTTTGGTATCATTTTGTAGGTCTTGATGAAACATAACAATTAAAGAAAATAGAAATCGGACCATTAATAACAAAATGGCAGCTAAAAATGATTGAGACAATGGTTATTCAAAGTAATTTTGCGCTGCCATTTTGTTATTAATGGTCCGATTTCTATTTTCTTTATGTTAATTGTTATGTTTCATCAAGACCTACAAAATGATACCAAACTCGACTATACTTGCTATTTGAAAATTTTGAGCTACTCCCTACCCCCGCTACCCCTAAGGGCAAAATTTTCAAAACTGACCGTGATTATTGTAGCCCTTCATTTCCAAACAAGTTGCCGCAAACCGATTTCAAATATCTCAAATAGGCCTAGTTAAAAAGTTAGGGAGGGTGCAAGTTAATTTGTTTGCCACCCTCATGGTTATTTGGATTTGAAACGTTTTAGGGCGCCATTTTGTTATTAGTGAGCCGATTTTGGTTTTCTTTATGTTGATGTTCATGTTTCGTCAAAACCTGTAAAATGATACCAAACTTGACTATACTTGTCATTTGAAAATTTTGAGCTGCCTCTTACCCCCGCTAAAATTAAAAAAGCTAAGGGCTAAGGGCAAAATTTTCAAAATTGACCATAATTATTGTTGCCCTTCATATCTAAGAAAGTTGCCGCAAACCGATTTCAAATATCTCAAATGGTTGAAAAGTTAAGTGGGGGTGCAAGTTACTTTTCAGCCACCCTGTATATATTGCAAAGGGGCGCTACTATTAGACGTGCCTAGGGCGCTGACAGGGTCAAAAACGGGCCTGTGTTTTCTCATAAATTTAACCATCTTTGGTTAATTGACAAACTTAATACAATTGATGAGAAGTACAGTAGGTACTTACAGTCATGTAATATGAGTTGACCGAGGAAGGGTTCTGTGTACAGTTGGGAAACTTGGGAGTAAACCTGCGATAATCTCCTTCCAGAACGCAACACGCTGCAGGCATTACCTGCGTTGAGTTTTCTTCTTTGAATTTTTCTTCAAAGTCTTCGAAGCTGTCCACTCCACAACAGGACATCTGATAAGAAAACATAATTTAGGTTTAAAAAAAATTGTGGTAGCCTGTGATTTCTGTTCTGCTGGTCCAATTGTGTTCCATGGATGTTTTTTTAAGGACGCAACAATTTTCATAAAAATTAGTCAGGAATATTATAAATTAAAAATACATAATACCGCCAAGTTTAAACTTTTTAAGTCCTTGTAATGTTTTAACTTCTATAGTTTTGTACTGATAAACTATATTCGACATTATGCTCTTGAAGTGCAAGATTAATTATGTTTGAAATTGAACTGATGAAAAATGTTCAATAAATTAGAGTCTTATAAAGTAAGCAGGCATTTATACAATAAAAATGATGCAATATGTATATTTATGATTTGTTGCTGCAATTGTCCTTAACTTACTTAGACATTATTTTATGAGAACTTATAAAAACCCAAACAAATCAATATTGTCTACTTCTGGTACATTTGTATATTGTGGTTTGAATACTTATATAAATTCACTTTCATTGGCTGAGGTTTGAATCCCAGGTGTGATAGTTTTACTCATTTAATCTAGCAATCCTTCAGCTTACAAATCTGCCTGAAGCAGTTTAGTGTACTGAACTGAAGAGTTCATGCTAGCTTTTGGATATTTCAGTAGACACCCCATGTATATGGACCAGCTTTCCCCAAGTTTTTATTTAAAACTACGACAGCAGAGTTCTGTGAGCCGGCACAGAAAACATACTACGAGCCAGTCACAGATTGACTAGTGTCTGAAATTACATTTTCTATCTCATTGTTTGTTACTTAGATAGTTTATATGACTTAAAAGATGATAAAGCTTACTATAATTTGTGCTATAGTTTTACTTCATTGTCTGCATATTCAACAGAAATCGGTAATTTTCATCACCCAATCTATTGGTGGCTCACTTAAACTTGACCAATTTTATTTTTAATAGAATGCCTAGTTGTATAAATAGTCAAAGATATGGACCAGCTTTAGCCAATATTTTGTTCAAATTAAACAAAATTGGACAAGCCATTCACAGAGAGCTTATCAAAATTATATTTTCTCCCTAAGTTTTCATTACAGTAATATTAAAGTTGATATGACATAAAATATGCTGTATGTAAAGCTGCCCTTTTAGTGCGGCTGGGAAAAAGTTTATGTATTCTACAGAAATCCGTAATCAACATCATTTTGTCGATGGGTCAATATTCTTCGTTAATTTTATTCTAAAACTGGCTACTACTTAAACATCGGAATGGAATGTCTAGTTCCCTCAATATTTAAAACTTGTACCTACATACTCTGTAGGTAATACACATTTACTTGTACATATTTGTTATGTACCTGAGCCATGAGGACGTTCCACATGAGAGAAACAGCGTCCGACTTGTTACGTTGTGGAGTGTAGTAGTCCTGGATAGTGTTCTGTAGGAATTTGCGTGTCTCATTTTCAGCCTGCAAGTTCAACATTTGATTTTATAACTAGTTTTAATTTTGGACGTGATTTGGAAAAGCCACTTGTACATTTAACCTGTTTTATCAAGGATATAATTTTTTTTTTTTTTAATAGAGAAAATGATCGTGGGGGCAAAATATAACAAATCATAAATGAAACGATTACACACTTATTAAACAATTAGATTGTACTTTGTTTCCCAAAGTACAATCTATTGAGAAATATTTATACAAATTGGGGAAATTAAACTTTTTTTAAATGATTAACAAAAGCAGAAAATCATAAAGCTTGAGTATTGGTTTTGTTGAATTTTTTTTAGGGAATTCCATAACTTCAAAAAACTATTTCTTTGAGAGGATATCATAATTAATCATCAAGGATCTTTCTTACCTTCGCTCTGTAAGCAATAGCCATTCCTGCTGCTGTGATCTCCAAAATCAATATAAGAACCAGCATAATCCCATACTGAAAAAATATTAAATATTAGGAATATATTTTAAAAACAAATTATTAGACAAAAACTATTGTCAAAATATTTTGTCAACCCAATATTAAAGTAGATAACAATATTTTTTACATAATAGCATTGACTATTAATAGGTAACCAATTTCTAACTGTACTTGCGAATTTAATTTGAATATTCATAGATGAGAATGGGTGTTTTGTTGATGATCTGCTGGTGTTGTCTGGTGTCTAGTGTATGTTCTAGTGTCTAGTGTATGTTCTAGTGTCTAGTGTATGTTCTAGTGTCTAGTGTATGTTCTAGTGTCTAGTGTATGTTCTAGTGTCTAGTGTATGTTCTAGTGTCTAGTGTATGTTCTAGTGTCTAGTGTATGTTCTAGTGTCTAGTGTATGTTCTAGTGTCTAGTGTATGTTCTAGTGTCTAGTGTGTTGTCTGTTAGTTCCCACAGTCTCACTGTGTCGGCGACATGGTCCTGTAACCTTCACGCTTCATGCTTTCTTTTGTCCTAACACACGTCTCTAGTCCTTACTACTGTGACAGGCTGAAGGTTAAATAGATCAGTGTAATTAAAGATAGATCAAAGTGAAATTAATTAAGAATTACCGGTAATATCGGTATCAGGCTAATATGTTAACTAATGCATTTTGTTAAAACTTTACATGTGCTGAAATTTACAATTATTTATATGCATACAGTATTTCTATTTCCATTTGGATTTTATCTAGCCAATGGCCGATTGTTAAAAAAAAACAACAATTTCAGAAATTTTGCTGAAATTGCCCTATCGCCTGGCCAGGTAGTCCCTACGGTTGGGGGAAAAAGAGAATTATTTTTGTCCAGGTGTCCTGTCGTCAGTGACTGCAGTATTCTAAAAATGCAGTTGACTACTTTTCCTGCCAAGTCACAATTGTTTCTGTACCAAAATACCAACTTAACCTAACCTAAAATAAGCTAGTAACTCCTGATATTGGTGGTAGTTTGGTAGTTATTAGAAGACTTGTCACTGACAGAAAGCATGGACAACAATGATTCCCTTTTTGTACCTGGCCGGGCTCTCGGGGCAACGACCTATTGTCTTTTTTTAATTGCTATTCCAAAATTCAACAATTTTCTTTTTTCTATTTGACAGCAACTTAGCAGACGCACAGGTAGCACTGCCTATGTCTGCTAGTTCCTTTATTTTATTGTTATAATTTTTGGCTTTATTAAAACTCGTATAAAATATTTTAGTGACAAAAGTCTCTGTCTATTATACTTTATTTAGTTATAATCACAGCTTGTAGCCTATGTTTTTTTGGAATAAACTATATTCATTCATTCATTCATTCATTCATTTCAGCATTTCTGGTATGGCGAGGCAACCGACCCTTCTTGATGCTCTGAACCGAGCAGGGCAGTTTCGTTGTCCCCGTCCGTTTTGGGTAATCGACTCTCTACTGTATTGATTCGTTTTACAGGTAGCCTACAAAAGTTAATTGGCTTTCATTATAACTTTTCGCCGATTATGGTACTTTCCTGTTAAACATTCATTAATATCGATGATTTTCTCGATATATCGGTATTTTTGTTTTCCTATACGATGCATTAATTACAAATTGACAACTGATCTTGTTTAGGCTAAAATATAGTCTATTATATGACTATATTTGGCCGATCGTTACGTGTATGGGAGGCATAAAATCCGATTGCGTACCATAAAGAGCCACTTTCGCTCCCAGTGATGAAAACTACATTGTAATTTCTTCCAAAAAATACATCAGCTTCAAAATACCGAAGGCCTACATGGAATAGAAAGTTGTTCAAGCTTTACAACTGCTTTGCTAATGAAAACTGTCGGCTCTTTTTAACGTTACATTGTTCATTTTTTATCCCATTAATCCGGCTCACTTGGTCAAGATATACCTCATTCGGGATAAAATTCCAATTAAACTCATAATTTAATCAAACTCATTGATTTGTCAATATCTGTTGCTGACAAAGGCAGATTTTGTATTTTAAAAAGAAATATAATATTCTTGAGAAATTCCACATCATCAACATCATACATAGCCTATTAAATCGTCGTTGTAAAACATTGCTTATGAATTAACCTTAGACCTCTTATAGAAAACTGAACCAGAGTAAAGGAATATACCAATCATAATCTAGAATTAATCAAATTATTTCCACAATTAATTTTAACTGTTTAAATACAAGCGGTGCACCCAATTGATAACGCTACAAAACTGGGCTCATTCGTTATACTTTGACAGCTGAAACTGAAGCTGTTCATAATTGAAATTGAATCGTATTTTCTCAATAAATAAATCCCGCTTATAGACGAAATTTGTTTGGTTCTAAAGTCAAAAGTGAGTCTATACTAAAACAATATCTCGGATGTGTTCTTTTTATTTTGTAATTTATTTATAAACGAAAGTCCATCATTTTTTTGTTTCGACTCCCCACTGCCACCTATTTGAAAACTAAAATAAATAATAAAGACATTTGAAGCTGTCTTTTAGTAAATTTTCTTACACCGCAGCAAGAATGGCTGTTTTTAATGTGTGCTCGCAATGTAGTGCGAAATTAATTCTTTTTTATCCCTGAGCTGGAAAAAAGAATCAGCTGCAATAGTTGAGAAAATCAGCTGTACGCCCAACAGTCACAAGAAGGCAAGTGTAGGGTGCAGTGTGTGTTAGCAGGCAACAGTTCATCTGGCAAGCCCTACAAATCCATTAGACACAGTTTGCGTTCACACGATCCTATAGTTTGGCCAAATTACACTTTGTACACTTCCGGTACCGTTGGTGACCGTGCTATGGTGCTATAGTACTGACAACGCACGAGTTACATCTGTTGACAAGTTGGATTTGAACAGTCCCTGCCTGGATGTATCAAATACCTGTCTGGATTTACCAATTCCCTTTGTGGATTTATCAAGCATTTGGAAATTAGCTACAGACGTTACAATGTGCTAATAAACATACCACACTGCCGTTGAAGAAGTAAAATTTATAACCAACAAAAATGTAGTTTTTCAAACTGTATTCAATATTTTATTTATTTGTTAGTGACAACTTGTGTTCAAATTCAGTCAATTTATAACCTTCATACCAGAGATCGCCCACTGGTAAAACTCGACCAATAGTTATAATATATCTGACTATTGGGCGAAGTGGCACTTAGCTGCACACGACAGAAATGTTGACGCACGAGCAGTAGGGCGTGTGTAGAAAGTTTATCGTGTTCAGTAAATGCAGTTTGCACTCTTGTTACACATTACATTTTCCTACAGTTACTATAAATCATATGAATAATTAGTCTTTCAAACACTGTAAAACACGCTTTAAGGTTGACGAAAATCTTCATATTTTTCTTTATGGCGGTGTTTATGGTGGGGTTTAAACAGCGACCACACAAATTTCGTTATCTACGGTGGTTTTAAACACTTTGCAAGCCAAGCGTTCATAGTAGAACAACAGATTAAAAAAAGAGAAGAAATCAGTTAGTAGGCATTATTATTAGATGTCTAGTAGATCTGTGACAATGGAAGGACATGGTACAACTACAACCCTGTTCAACCGTTAAATCAACCCGGAGGTAGGAAGATCTGTCTGCCTAAATCTTCAATGAGTTTATACAGGGTGAATGATATAAGTGTGCCAGCCGTTTTATTCGAAAACTATAAGAGATATCAAAAAAAGTTAAATAATAAGTGCCTTGGATTTTTTATTTAAAAAATTGTAGTCAAGTCAAAAAAATTATTTTTTCACCACACTATGATGTTTTTGGCTGTATTACATATAGGCCAGTCAAATCGTACATAAAAAGAGGCTAAAATCGCAAAGCGTGATGTATTGCTGCATTTTTAATATGTTGTTGGGACCAGTTAGGGTAACTCAAAACCAAGTTTGCAGCTTCGAGATCCCTGTGCTCCCTGCGTAATAAGTAAAATATTACAAAATCAATGTATTATTTTTAGTTTTTGGTCTATAACTTATTAACAGTGCATTTTTCTTAATACTACTCAAATGTAATAATTAAAGTATATAAAATGTCCAACAATTTGAGCACAGTTTCATTTTTGTGTGTCAAATAGTTTTTGAGTAATGATTTTTCAAATATTACAAATTTGTTTCAGTAATTACCATAAATTACGTTTTTCCTGGGTTCGACCCACCAAAATTGTGTAATACCCATATTATGGCAGAATTCTTATAAAATGCTTTTGTGGTAAATTTTATTGGCTTTCGTTTTATCACAAAACTAAGTCTCTACCTCCAGCACTTTTCTGAAAACTATACAAATAATAATTTATGAATATCACGTTTTTTTCATTTAACGAGTTTAACCTGTTTTTACAACACGTGTAAGTTATTAAGAGTTAGATAAACAAAATTTACTATGCTCTAGCTAATTAAAAAAAAATATAATATAAATTTGTATAAGAAAAACTTACAGTACCGGTAAATATTTCCAACGCAGAAAATGATCAAATATATCGGTCTCGGCACTAAGCCTTACCGTACCACCTACGGTAATAACTACTTCCTATCAGTAAGTAAAACAGAAGAATATATGTTAAATTAGTGTTTTATTTCTATTAGACTTGTTTTCTTTATGTTAAGTTATAGATATAGTTTTTGACGCCATTCCATGTACAATATGAAATAAAGACGATTTGATTTGTTTTGAACACAATCGTTGCGTAAACTACAACGGTATATCATTTTTAGCTGTTTCAAATATTTATATGATGCATTTTAACTACAATAGCATCTTTTCCGAGAGCCTGAGACGACCTCCTGTTGTTGGGTCAACCTTGTTCACTGGTTAAAAGGACAAGGACGTCACTTCAGGATTTTGTTTTAAACAAATGGAAAAATGACTTTGTTAAGTTAAAATGTTAAAAAATAAGCTGTGTTTTGATCTGCTATTTAAATATCATTATTTATACACAGCCAGGACTGATTTACTTTTTCGACTTCAAATTCCCAGAGGTCAAAAACGCCTTCATTCAAG